TGCTTGGAGGCTGGCCTTGTGGTCGTGGTTCCTGGACTCCAGTCAGTGTCTGAACCACATGAAGAGCCTGTTAAAACGCAGATTCTTGCAACCCTTTCCACTCCAGATTCTGATGAGTCAGTCTGGGGTGCAGCAGGAATCTGCATTATTAAATAAGCTCCCTTTGGAGATTCTGAAATAGATGGTTGAAGTCTTAGCTCCCAGCAAGCCAAGAATCACTGTTGTGTAAAATATCCAAGCAGGACGTACCCTTAGAGTCCAGCTAATCCAATGCCTTCAATAAGAAAACTGAGGCCCAGAGAGGGGGAGTGATTTGTGCAAGGTCACACAGCGAGCCACTGGCAGAACGGGGGCTGAAACGCAGGCATTTCTCTCCCTGAGTCTTTGGGTACTGGCTACTTAGACTGGTCTTCAGGCCCTCACATGCTAGGCCCAGCGAGGCTGGAATGCTGCACGGTGGGGAGCCTCTTCAAAGTGGAGTGGGGCCGACTCAACAAGTGGTTGGAGGGGTCTGGAACCATCCTCACCCACCTGGAAAGCGACTCCTTTTACAGCCATTTCCTGAGTCCCAACTTCAAGCTGAGTCACCCACCTGTGGCAGCCAAGATGCCACTAAACACCCTATCGCCCAGGATTTGGGATGAGCTATTTGCCCCTTGTCACTTCTGGCTATCCCATACTTCCCTCCCCAAGGACACTCACAGTCAGCCTGTCCTAAGGAGGGCTTCTTCACTCCAGGGACCAACTCGCTGAGTCCCACAGTCCTCAGGAGACTTTAGAACCTCAGAAGTCTGTTAGAAACTTTCAGTCACATGGAGTCTCCCGTACATCCCCCTTCCCCATTCCCAACCCCCCACCACCCACACCCACCCACCCCTACGCCCACACGCTCATGCCCCACTAGTCTTCCGTGAGACCTGCAACTCTGATGCTGCTTGATACGAGACATACGGATTAGTTTCTGTAAAGTCGGGCCTGTCCCCTGTCTTCTCCCAACCGATGGTCAGCGACAGCACAGTAGAGCACACAGGCCACACCTGCCCACTGCCCAGCCTGAGGTCTCTGCAGCAGTATTTAATGACAACATCCCAGAATACCAAAGAGGCTCCCAGGTCATACAAACCCCAGAAGCCAGGGCCAGGGGGGACTGAGGAATTATGTAATCGAGACAGTGTGGTGCTATTACAAGGATGGATCAATAGACCAATGGAAGAGAACACAGCTTCCAGAAAAGACCCACAGGTGACTGATGACAGGTGCATGGGATTCTGCTTATATGAAGTTCAGTAGTGAACGGAAGTGATCTCCGGCGACAGTCAGAAAGGCAACTCTGGGGGGGTGAGGAAGCCTGCCAGAGGGCTAGAAACGATTCGCATCTTTATCTGGCTGGAGATTACATAGCAGATGCATATGAAAATGGTGGAAGTGTACCATCAGGATCTGGGAGCTCCCCTCTCTGGGTCTCCAATTCTTCACCTGCAAATAGAGGCACTAAGCCCTCCCTCCTAAGCTTACAGTATAGAAAGCATCTGGCACACAGTTGGGCAGTCGGTAAACACTAACCATATAAGGAGGTAAAGGAGGAAAGGACAGGGTCCAGTGATGGTAATAATCATGAAAACAATAATCAACTAACCACCAATCTGGAGGGCCACCCACACCCCGGCGCTGTGCTCCGTACGGCTCACACACCGCTTGTCTACTCATCTCTCTAAAAGGGGAACAGTGTTTGTATGAAATGGAAAAAAAAAACATGCCTGACACGAGTTCAAGGAAGAAAGGCTGCATTCAGTGAGGGCCCGCATGGTGGGCAGAGCTTCTTAGTCAGCACTGCACTCGCTTCTTCAAGGAGTTACTGATGAGGCCGTCGCGCTCGGGGCGGCGGCGGGGGGGGGGGGGGGGGGCTGGTTCCAATGCAGCCAGAGTCCAATCCCTAGGAGGGGGATGGAGAAGGTGGAGAAGTAAGAACATCCAGCAGACCTGTGTTCAAATGCTTGGCTCTGCCCCCACTAGCTGTGTGAGGTTGGCAAGTTGTTCAACCTCTCTGAGCTTTAGCTTTCTCATCCAATCATGGGGTTATGGTCTCTCATCTCACCCTTGGCAGGCCAGCTGTAAGGAGTAGAGATTACATGTGCCATGTGTCTGGCACAGATTAGGTGCTTATAATTATTGTTATTTCTGTTATTGTTTTCCCCAAATCACTCTGATATCGGCCTGCCCGACCCTGCATGTCCACAGAAAACAAAAAACCAACACTCTGCCCCAGTCCTGCCTCCCAGAGGCTAACCCAGGGCGTGAGGCCGGCTGATTTATTCTCCATTAATTCACAGGGTGTTCACCAAGGGTCTGCTCTGCCCGGAACGCTGGCCTTATCTGCAAGGACGTTTAAAGAGGGCAGGAGGCAGGAGCAGATGAACCCGGGCTCTTGGGCTCTCAGAGGGCAGCCCCCTGCCCAGCCCCCACAGGTCCCCTCCCTCCAGCCCCACTGCCCCTTCCTCCCAGGCACCTCGCTCAGCCTTGAGAGCAGGCAACTACAGCAGATCACATCTTTGTTTGCACTTGTCTTTGAAAACTCAAAGCTGCCTCTGATAAAACACCATTGCAGTCCTGGACTCAGTGTATCCAAATAGATTAATGGATTTGGGGGCGCTGCTGAAATGAAAATCCCACCGCAGCGGCAGTAAGTAAATGCTGGTAACCTGGCGCGGGAGGGGAAGGTATGAGGCCTGTGGCATCTTTCCTGATCCACGTTAAGGCTGTTCAGGAAAAGCTGGAGGTGATCTCCCTTCCTCTCCCTCCCCCTGCTCACTGGAGCCAAAGATTTTGTACCCAAGGGTCCCGGTGGGCAGAGGATCCCTGGCTAGATGTCTAGGGACACACCCCACCCCAACCACCAGTGGAGGAGATGGGCAAGCAGGTCTCTCCCTCCCTCCTGCACAGGAGATCGACCCCAACACCTTCCCAGGCCCACTAGTTGTGCTAGTATTGTGCTACTGGCCCAGTGACCTCGGGAGAGACATCCACTGCTCTCCCTCGGAGTGCCCTGCCATCCGGTAAGTGGAGGGCTGAATTAAAACAGTCCTTCTCTTATCCTTTCCCAACCCCCAGAGGGAGACCTCTTCCAGAAAAGCCCACCAGGCAACTCCAGTGACGGCAGAGCAGGGGGTGGGAGGGCCTGGTGCCTGTCCGGCCTCCCCACCTTGCACACACATACCCTGAGGCCCCCAACGGTTCTGGGAGCATCATTCCCTGAGTTCCCAGGAGGCCAAGGCCAGCTGTGGCTGAGCCCTTCCCAGCCATGTCCCCAGCAGCAGTGCCCTACGCTCTGATGCAACCTCTCCTTTTACGAACTAAAAAACAGTGGAGTCAGAGGGGCTTGGGTTTCAATCCCAGCTCTACGAGCTGTGTGACCTTGGACAAGTTACCTTCCCTCTCTGAATCTCTGATTCCTCATCAGAAGAATGAAGACATTAAGACCTGCCTCCCAGGTTTATTATGGAAAAAAGCACTTGGTACAGCAAGTTGGGCATTCAAAAAACACAAGGAGATAAAGGAGGAAGAAGGAAAGGACAGAGCCCAAAGATAATGAAAACAACAAAATCTTGCTACCATACTGGAGCATGAAGTACCTGCCAGGCACGGTGCTCAGCACTCGTGTGGCCCTCACAACCTTCTTAGAAGGAGATCTTTGTCCGCATCGGCAGAGGCCACACAGGCACTCAGAGGCCTGAGCTCCCAAGGTGCACCCTCTCCTACCATTCCACTGGCTCATCTGCTGAGCCAAGCGGTAGTTTCCCCCCTCCGGGCCATCCCACCACTGGGACCACAGGCTCATCTTCATATGTTGCCTGGGGTGGGAGGAAGGAAAGAGCATTCACCTGTCTCCATTGCTTCCTCTCGCCCACGCAGAGTGGTGGATCACATCACTGCACTCCTCAACCCCGTTCATGACTCCCCAGTACCTTTGAGATCCTGCCCAACATCTTCACTACCTGCCCCCACCCTATTTTTCCACACTCCCCTGGAAATCCTGCCAAACTTCACCATTCCCTTCCCCTTCCTTGCGGTGCCATCACTGCCCCCCAACCCCTCCACCCTGACACACACACACACCCAGCAAATCCCTGCTCATCCTACCGGGGAAGCTGACCTGCAGCAGAAGCAAGCACCTCCTCTGTGTAGTTCCCTGGGGAACTCGCTCACACCCCTCCCGCTGCCCAGAGGAGCTTGTAAGGATTTAGCTGTGGATCTAACAGCAACACTAGGTGGTGAGCTCCTTAAAGAAGGGAATGCTGCCTGGCCCCCTCTGAAGTCCCCTACCTAGCTCAGAGGAGGGACTATAAAAATGATGGGTGTCGTTGAAAAAGTACAACTCCATCATTACCCGTGGGACCCTACAGCAACCAAGAAGAAGAAAATGGGGTACAGGCCTCAACCCCACGGCCAGCTTTCTTTCCCTGAGACCAAGGGGGTGGGAGGCGGGAGACAGAAGCCTTCCTTTTCTTGTAGCTTTGTGAAGTAGAAACAGTTGGCTCCTGCTGTCCCCTGCTGGCCTGACCCCCCTGAGGTCTAGGGAGCAGCAGGGAGAGGGGAGGGCAGGAGGAGAGAGGAGGTTGTGCCCAGGCCCCACAGGGCCAGAAGCAGTTAAGTCCCACGGATTTCACACCACTGGTCTCTGGGGCCGCTCAGCTCTGTGGGGCTCAGATGGTACAGGAGGACAGACGGCAGTCACTTGTTGGGGCACGAGCTGCAAGAAGGGGCTCAGCATGGGCCTGCACCCCACTGTGTGCAGCCAGGCCCAGCTTTAGGAGACAGGGCAGAGGGCTGTACCAGATACCCTGGGAGGATGCTTTGTGCTCAGAGATACTGTAATTCTTCAGACAACAGACAACAGCTCTTCCGTTCCAAGGCAGTGAGATCTCACAGGGACACACCTGCCCTCAGTGGGCAGCCCCGACCACGCCCGTGTCCCTCCACAGCAGCCGTGAGCTCAAGCTCACCTCGTTGACGTCAATCTTGTTTCTCTCCATGTAGTCTCTGTCATTGACCTGGCCGCCGTCCACAAACTCCATCAGAAGGACCCGCTTGGTGGACAGCTCCCAGTAGATGCGGGGGACCTGGAAGAGGCAAGGGCAGGTCAGAAGGGCTGGCAGGCCCGCAGCTAAAGGCCAGGACCACAGAGACGCACAGTGAGCCAGGCAAGGGCAGATTCTCCTCCCAGGAACATGAGACAAAGCCCAAGGGGGACCGAGCAGTGACAGGCAGGGTCAGGGGTGGGGCAAGCCACACTGCCTCCTCCACCAGGTAGGCCCTCGGGCCCTCCTTTAGAGCCCCCCTCCTGCTTAGGGACCAGAGAATGGCTTCCCCGCCCTCCTCAATGCCTCCAGACACCATCAAGAGCCAAAAATTGGGACTCAGGGAACCAGGTGAGGAACCCCTCATACCTGAGCCAGACTTGGCACTGAAATCTATTTCCCTCTCTCACCAGGCCCACTGCAGGCTCCTCACGTGAATCTCAACCTTCTGCCCCAGTTTTTACACTTTTGCAATGGATGTATTACATGTCTAGGTCTACGAATGAACGAACGAACAAATGACCGAATTTTTACTGGGTGAGAAATCTTTCAGTCAGGAGGTCCTGAGTTTTCTCATGCCCGTCTCCTACAAGTCTCCTGGGGCAGATAATGCTGGATCCTAACCCAGCAGCTACTCCCGGTCCTCCTCTCCCCTCTACTGGGGAGACAGGAGAAACTACACACTTTCCCTGCCCACCTTGCAAGAGCTATGGCCTCGTGACACAGTGCTGGCGTAGCAAACATACATGGAGGCCTGCTAGGGGCTCTGGGAAGGTTTTTCTTTTCTTCATAAAAAGGGACGTGCCTAGGTGGCTCAGTCGGTTGAGCATCTGACTTGGGCTCAGGTTATGATCTCCGGGTCCTGGGATTGAGCCCCACATCAGGCTCCCTGCTCAGAGGGGGGGGCCTACTTCTCCCTCTCCTCTCTGCTCCTCCCCAGTGCTGGTGTGCGCTCTCTCCCTCCCCCTCTCAAATTAAATAATGGGATCTTAAAAAAAAGGGGGGGGTGGAATGTTTGTAAATGGTGCAACTCTTCTTACCCTCCTTTCCTACCTTGAAAGTGAATGTGATTCCTGGAGCTGCAGCAGCTATCTTGCAACCATGAGGAAAAGTCCAAGAAAATCAGAGATGCTGGCCCTGATACCATCACACCACTAACACAATATCAGCAGGCAACTGCTGTACTCCTTCTTGCCATGTGAGGAAAATAAGTCTTTTTTTGTTTAAGACACTCTAAATTGTGCTGTTGGTTACTTGCAGACAAATGCATTCCTAATTAATATGCTCTCCAACTCCCTCTGACTCTAAGAACACCCAGTGGCCAAAAAGAGAACAGATTTCCCCAGCATGAGACAAGAATTGGGACTGCACCAAGGGCTGCTGGGTTGCCCGATGAGGGACTGACAGCCAAGAGCACCCCCACTGCCAGGAGGGAGGAATGACTGGGATATCGGCATGCCACGTTTCCCGAACAACTCATGATGGGCTTGTTTTCACTTACAAATAAAACAAGATAGAAAAAGAAAGAAAGAAACAAGGGCAGTTAATTCAACGGTTTGGGGGAATAAGGACTTCCCTCATCTTGACCCCCAAAACTCATCTAGCAATAAGACCACAGCCCTCAAGTCAAGAATCCTATTTTCCTTCCTCATTCTGCAAATACTACCATGTCTTAACCCATCCACTTAACCTCCAGTGCCTCAGTTTTCCTTATCACAAAGGACTGTTCCTTCCCCATCTCAAGAAGGAGCTCTGAGGATGCTTGGGGCTGCAAACATGCGCGAAACACTCCAGGGTCCCTGGAACAAAGGTTCCAACTGAAGTCAAGGTGCCATTGTGGTTTGCCACTTTCCTGCAGTTCTTGCCATTTGAAAATCTGGGCTAGTAGAGAAATCTGTGACTCTCTATGACTGTGAGCTTAAAATTCAGTCTCGCGTGGCACTTTTCACAAGCTATCTTTAAAAATATGAGTGAAAGTTTGCTGTTGTTGGCTGTGGCTTCCAAATGGAAGGGACATATTTTTGAGGTTAAGTCCTTTTCTCGGTTTGTTTGGAAACCTAAGCTTGGCAGTGGGTGCCTGGGGCTCTGGTGACACGAGGTCAGACCCCCATCTGGGCCTGCCTGGGGCAAATGGGGAAAACCACTTGAAAGAGCCACAGATGGAAAGAGAAACCCCAAAGTCTGGAGACTCTCTGAGCTTGTTAATCAGGGCGGTGGAAGCACTGCACTCCCCCCTCCTCTACCTTTCTCCCCAGCCTCCCTCCCAATGCAAGTGTCCTGTCAGACGACACAATGGCCCCTGTGGCAGCAGCTTAGATCTGAAACGACAGAATACCAAACCCGGGAGGTAGAGAGGTTTATCATGGGAGCTCAGAGAGGACCGCAAACTGGCCCTTGACAACTACATCACAGAAATGACTACAAAATGCAAATCTGCTCCCTGCTCACTTAGGAGAAACTTGGCTTGACTGTGGGACCTAAGGTCAATGACTTGCCCCTAAATCACCCTATGGGCAGGAGGGTTTGGGAGCATAACCTGAAATTCACCCCAGCACCCATGTTTCATCCCCATGCCTTCTGCTCCTTCCATCAAAGTGGAGAAAGATGAAAGAGAATCATTCTAAAGAGGCAATGAGAAGAACCCTCCCATGGCCCCTCACAAACAAAACTCAACCCAGGGAGGTCGTGGCCAGGGGGACCCACTGACCCCACAGGCAGGTTCACACCCTGGCCATCAGAACTTTGAGTTCAATAGTCTATCTCCTTGACACAAATCAGAGGCCCCACTCCCATGGGCTCCACCTGCCCCCCCACCCCATGCTGGGACCAATCCTGATCCCAAGAAGGAAGGCACAGATTATGGAAAATTCCAGCCCGAGAACCTGGGCCTCAGCCTCATAGTCTGGCCCTGACCCCATGGTTCCATTCTGTTCCTGTGCTTTGGTCAACACACCTGTGATGCAGGCCCTGGTTCGCCTGGGCCCGTGCCCATCCCCTGGGGAGCCCAGGGAAGCAGAGCACAGACCCCGAGGAAGATTGCCAGGCTGGAGCCCTGGCTTTGCTCCTTCCAAGCTGCGTGACCTTGGGTAGGTTTTATAACCGGAGCGCCAGCTTCCCACCTGTAAAATGGCGATGACAATACAGCAAAGTAATATTCCCAATTTCTTACTAGCATGTGTGGAATCCTGGTGCTCGACACACAGCACACACTTAGCCCCTGCTGGACAGACCCCAGCTGCCCTATGAGAGCCATGCAGACTTTCACGGGTGGTTCTGACACACGACCAGGGCTGAGGGTTAATGCTACAGACAGTTCAGCACAATTCAGATCTGCCCCATAAACTCTCATGAAGGCAGAAGAGCACCACGGTGAAACCCGCAGGCTCTGGAGCCAGGCTGCCTCCATCCAGAACCCGCCTCTGCCCCTTCCCGGAAGCCGTATAACCTTGGACAAATGGTTTAATCTCTCCGGCCTCAATTTCCCTGCCATTGACAAGGGGCTAATCATGGCCTTTCCCTCATGGGACTGTATAAGGATTAAGAAGTAAATACAAGCAAAGCACTTTAAAAAGTGTCTCACATAGCACAGGCACATAAAAAATATTAACTCCTACTAATTATTCTACACCAGCGGTTCTTCATCTTTGAGATTCATAGTAAGCCGTGGTGCTTCTCCAAAAGCATGCACATCCCTCAAGGTCTGCCCACAATTTCTGGAGAGTCCCAGGATCCTTACCTTGACCTAAGAAGTGACCCCCTGAAGCGGGTCCACTCAGGAGAGGACTGCTTTGCCTCTCCCTGCCTCCACATGTCCTGGCACACTCTCATCTCTCCTGGTCTCAAACCCTGTGCTCCTAAGGCTTCTCCCTCCTCCCTTGTCCCAGCTTTCCCCCAGGCTGGTCACAAACCTCACCACCTGCCCTGGCCCCTCCCCACAATACACAACAGACCCACAAATGCCCTGGTCTTGACCGTTCAGCCTGGCTGCCCTCTCACCCTCTCCCGGCCTCCCTGACCCCACACTTCCATTCGGTGCTCGTCCAAGGCTCAGAGATTTAGAGCTTAGGGCTGAGGTTATTAAACCCCACTGGAAGATGCCTCAAACACTGAGAGGTAAACTCTTCGCTGAGGCTTAATTACGCACAGATGTTGTGATGGGATGCCCGTGTGCAAAGGCAATCTATCTCCAGTTTTAAGAGCTGAACTGGGTTCACACTGCAAAATTTGCTCCTCACTTGTTATGTGTTTAGGCAAAATTAATTACTCAGGAGCCTTAGTCACACCATTGTCTTAGGAACAGTGTGTGGGTTTTAGAAGCGGCAGGTCAAATTGTTACATTAATTATTTACCCATTTGGCATCCTCATTTCAGAAATTTGTGTTATTATTATTATTACATGTCTTGGTCTGGGAGATGCTAGTTGGCCCCAGCCAGAGGATGATTTGCTGTTTCCATGGGAACGGTGAAGGAGATGGTTCTGTTTGGTTCATAGTTCTGGTGCTGAGGAGCACCCTGCCAGCTAAGAGGCAACAGAATGTCCTCAAGCGAGCACCAGAGATGAAATCAGAAAATCTGGGCTGCAGCCCTGACTCCTCTAGTCTAAGACTGTCACCTGTAAGATGGGGTGATGGCTGTTGGAAGGATCCAATGTCATGGTACCTGCATAGCGTCCGGGGAAGCAGAAGAAACATTTAGTCAATATTGCCTACCCATTTGTACACTCAACACTTCTTGGAAGCCCCCTCTGAGCTCCTTATCCTGAGTAGAATGAAGTGCTTGCTCTTGGGCATCCACAGAAACATAGTCAAGTCTCTGTCACAGGCTGTACCTCTGTGCATGGCGCAGGCCTGGACTGCAGCAACATAGTGTGTCTGTGCCCCACTAGATGGGACTTTTTCTCAGGTAGGAGCCAACCATCTCTTTCTCAGCCAGGCCCCCCCAACTCCTAACACAACAAGTTCAGGAAATGCTCAGGAAATGTGGGATAAAGCAGTGGAAGACATGGGAGATGCAAGCAGAAGCAAACATAGTTTAGACCCCATGGCACCATGCTAATGAGTTAGTATGAGTCCTTGTCTGAGAGAGCCACATTTTTATTGAATTGGTGGCTTGAACTTCAAGGCTGGGGCAGTGTTACCAGATCTAGTCTGCACATGGGGATTTACAGGCACAAGAGGGTCTGCATGTCCAGATCTGTGATGGTCAGCAGAGGAAAAGGCAGTCACACATAGTACTGGAGGCATCCAGACAGACCTGACTCTCAGCTCACTCAAAGGGTCAAACTTGGCCAACGGCCACATCTTTCACCAACCTCAGTGTGAAGACACTACACGATCCACAGCTGCGGCTTTCCCCCCCATGATCTGAGCTTCAGGATTCTCAGGTGGCTAGGGTAGGTACAGTCTCAGTCCCCCCGTCTCCGTTAATAAATCTGGATGGCAGAAGCATAAACACTACCTCCATTTCTTATGGTGTCTTCAGAAGCCACATGAACACTTTAGTCAAGAGCAAGAGACCTTCCCATTCAATGTACTGAGACCCCCCTCCCCAAGAAGAGCATGACCTGTTTGCTCTGGAACTAGCACCTGGAGCTCCTAACGGCTCTGTGACTTCCCTTCCCGCATGCTCCGGGCTTCCTGTGAAGAGAGAAGGGCTGATCTCTTCAAAGAGTTGAAAGTCAAGCTCTCTGGTACAGAGTACCAGAGGGGCCCAACCCCTTGTACCATGAAGAGGAACCCGCAGGGTAAGTGGGTCCAAGACCTGACAAGGACCAAATATGTTGTAAGAACAGTGGTGCTGGCGTGCATCTATCTAGGGAGAAGCACGTGGAGCCCATGGGGAACATCAGGCCAATCCTCAAAGACCCATTGCAGTGCCGGCTCCTCAGCAGAGCCTGCCCTGCGCTGATCCACCACGGGACTCCCTTCCTCTGAACGGAGAGCACTTACCAGCAGGACCTCTTACAAAGCTGCTACTTTGTATCATTTGGTGTTGTTTCCCACAGTAAGTGTCTTCTATCCTCAGACAGGCAGTTCTATAATACTTGAAAACACAAATTTTTTCTAACGCAATTGATATATTAGGGGGGCAGTATGATCATAACGCAAATCTTGCATTGGCCTATGTGAGCTATCCTCCCCCAGAAGCACCATGTGAATGCAGGAAACTGCTTCCCGCCAGACTGCACGACACGGGCATACACAAAACACACACACCCCAGCATCACCACGGGTGTCATGAGCCCCGCCCATGCAGATCCGGCGTCACAGCTTTCGTCCAATTCCAGATGACCGGCCTTCCACCACCTCACAATAATTCACAAGCGGCAACTGTTGATGCCCACCCTCACAAGCAGATGTCATGAGAGAGTGCCATGTGCTCTGTGGTCTTACGTACTTCTTAGCCATTTAACATGCATAAAACTATGCTATTTCTAGTAGATTCCCACCTTCTTTTATTTTTTCATTTTTATTATTCCCACCAGTGCCTCAGGGGTGACACTGTTTTAAAGTTGCATTTTCTCTTTTGTGAATTGTCTCTTTTCGTTATTTTATTTTCTACTGAAGTATAATGAACAGTGTTACATTACTTACAGGGGGATGATTCAACAACTGTATACACTACTCAGTGCTCATCACAGTAAGTGGACTCCTAATCCCATTTATTTCACCCATCCCTCCATCCACCTCCCCTCCGGCAACCACCAATTTGCTCTCTGTATTTAGGTCCACTTTTTTGTTTGTCTTTTTTGTTTGTTCATCTCTTTTGTTTCTTAAATTCCATATACGAGTGAGATCATACGGCAATATGCCTTTCTCTGTCCAATTTATTTCACTTAGCACTACACGCCCTCCATCCATGTGGTCGCAAATGGCAAGAGCTCATTCTTTTTCATAGCTGAGTAATATTCCATTGTGTATATATCACATCTTCTTTGCCCATTCATCTGTGGATGGACACTTGGGTTGCTTCCATATCTTGGCTATTGTAAATAATGCAGTAATAAACACAAGGCTGCATCTATATGGATCATATGTTAGTTCTGTTTTCAGTTTTTTGAGGAACCTGCTTGCTCTTTCTGACAGCGGCTGCACCAATGTACATTCCCACTAAATGGGCACAAGGGTGCCTTTTTCTCCACATCCTGGCCAACCCTTGTTACTTCTTGTCTTTTTGATTCTAGCCATTCTGGCAAATGTAGGTGATATCTCACTGTGGTTTTGGTTTGCATTCCCCTGAAAATGAGTGATGCTGAGCATCTTGTCATGTGTCTGTTGGCACTGTGGTAAGCCTAGCCCTATTTTCCCCATAAGCCCTGGGGTTTCTGTTGTGTGAGTCTGCCTACTATGGAGGTTTCTAGGAACACATACGTTGCATTTTAAGAGAACTGACTGTATATTAAACAAGGTAATAAATGTATAGTGTTAGAACAGCGCCAGAGCATGGTAGCATTAACTACCATCATCATTAAAGTCCTCATCCCGCGCTTCACAGAGGCAGAGACCACAGCTTAGTGGCCCTTGGGTAGCACTCGGTGTCTTAGAATTACAGATTATTCAATAAACATCTGTTTGGCTGATAGGTCAACAATCACACTTGGTATACCTTTGCAACGTTGCCCTCAAGAGCTCTAACGTGCAACACTAGGGACAAATCATTCAGGCTCGGGAAGGAGGCACCCCCACTCATGTCCGGCAAACGGGGGATGCTCAGGGCGGGGACCAGTCTCCCCCGCACTCCCTCACCAGACCCCCGTGCCCCCCCTGCCCCGCCCCTCGTACCTTTAAGAAGTCAAAGTGTTTGAGCATTTGGGCCACTTTCTCAGCATTCCTCCCTTCATTGAGGAAATCCAGCTCCAAAGGCAGGTTCTTCTTGGCTTCGTCCACCAGCCACATGAACTCAAACTCTGGAAACAGCTGCTTCACAGCCAGGACAAGCACCTGAAGTCCACCGAACACCCCATCAGTCAGCCCACAGCATGCACCACAGGAGCTCCGTTCCCTGCCCTCCTGCCTGGGTCTGGGCATTGACAAGTCCCTGGGCCTCACCTGAAGCAAGGCCTCCCTGCTCCCAGGGGCCTATCCCTGTAGTTCATGTCCAAGATGAGAAGAGCCCAAGAGCTGCCAGCAGTAAGAATCCCCATATGCCAAGCACTCCCCGCGTGCCCAGTGCTGGGCCAAGCCCTTACATTATTGTTCCACTCAGTCTTCACAACTCTGGGAGGTCTGCAGTACACACTTATCCCCCATTTTACAGATGAGGAAGTCAAGGCTCTGAGAGGCTATATGACTGTCCCAAATTTGCCCAGCAAGGAAGCACAGAGACAGAATTCCACTTGAGTCCACCCAGCCCCCAAACCCTCGCTCTTGCTCACTCGCCGCCTGCTGCCTTGGCTGCACCCAGACTTGCTCCTCATGGTCCGGTTTACAAAGGGCAGGGAGGGTGCTGCAACTGTATGGCATTCTGTTCATTTCTTAAGCTGAGGGGTTGGTACCTGAGTGTTTATAATGTTGTTTTCTATACTTCTCGCATGTCTAAAATATTGCTTGATAAAAAGCACATTGGAATAAGAAAACAAGGTTGGATAAGATAGGAGGAGTAAGAGATAAGGGATGTGACCACTGGGATAAAAAGCTCAGGTTTCTGGCAATTTGGCCACATTATGGATTCTTGAGTGAGGACATGATGGAAAGCGGGATTTTAGTAGACTTACAGGCATTTATCAGTTTAATGATGTGAAATTAAACGTTCCTGGCAGAGAAAAGGAGCCCAGTGGCATCTGCAGAGCATGCCATGACCCCCACCATGGGCTGGGACTCAGTTCTGAGGCTGCCCCACACTGGGGCTCTGGATTCGAGAGAATCTGGAATGTTTGTGGATGATGGCTCTGCAGTAAGTGACGAGGCTGAGGCCAGGAACATGGGAGATGCATTTCCCAAGAGAAACACAGAAAGGAACTCTCCTGTTCTACTTTAAGCCCTCCTTCCAGTGTTCAAAGTGACCAATCCTACCAGAAATTCTTGATATGGATTATAGTCCCAGTTCTCCAAGAATGCCCATCTCCATTCCCTGGTTATGCCAGACAGCAATGACAAGAATTAAAAAACCCTGGGGCGCCTGGGTGGCTCAGTCAGTTAAGCGTCTGCCTTCAGCTCAGGTCATGATCCCAGGGTCCTGGAATCGAGCTCCGCATCGGGCTCCCTGCTCAGCAAACTCAGGGAGTCTGCTTCTCCCTCTCCTTCCCACTCGTGCTCTCTCTCACTATCTCTGTCTCTCTCAAATAAATATTTTTTACAAAAAGATTTATTTAAAAAAAAGAATTAAAAAATTATGGGCCCATTGGTACCAAAAACTTACCCCATCTGTTGTGGACTGAATGTTTGTATCCCCCCAAATTCAATGCTGAAGCCCTAATCCCCAGGGTGATGGTGTTTGGAGATGGGGCCTTGGGGAGGTAACTAGGTTTCAATGAAGTCATGAAGGTGGGGACCCTATGATGGTTTTCACGTCCTGACAAGAAGAGGAAGAGACAGAGCTCTCTCTTCCACATAGGGGCACACAGGGAAGGTAGATCTTTTCAAGGCACAAAGTCCTCACCAGGAACTGAATTGGCCAGCACCTTGATCTTGGACTTTCAGCCTCCAGAACTACAAAAAATGAACATCTGTTTTTGTTTTTGTTTTTAAGAGAGAGTGTGAGAGCAGGTGTGAGTGGAGGGGGAGGGGCAGAGAAAGAGGGAAAATCTTAAGCAGGCTCCATGCCCAGCGAGGAGCCCAACACGGGGCTCGATCTCACAACTCTGAGATCATGACCTGAGCCGAAATCAAAAGTCGAACCCTTAACCAACTGAGCCACCCAGGTGCCCCTAAATGTCTTTTATTTAAGCCATCCACCCAGTCTATGGCATTTTGTTATAGCAGCCTGACCAGACTAAGATGCCATCCCATCTACCCAGAAGGACTCACTGAGCTCCAGCTATGAACCTCATCTTAAGCTTCCTTTTGCCCTGGCCTGTATGATGCCCAGCACTGTGATAGGCACATGCAATACAAAAGAAAGAGATCTAAAGCAGGGCCATTAACTACAAGGCATTTACGGCTTTGTCTTTAAACCCTGTGTCCTAGACGATGTACCAGATGCCATTCTAAAGGAATCGTCACACAAGATTATTATACTCAATTCCTATCAAAACCCTTTTTAATTACATTCGGCTGCAGTCTAATTTCTTTTAAGTCTTGTCTAGTCTTTCATGGGCTAGACCTGTGACCTTATGATAATTGATTTAGTTTATGTTTTGTTTCTGTTTGAGTCACACAAAGCTAGGCGGGAGAGGTGGCAACAGCAAGGCCCGGACGGCATGTGTCAGGCCCAGGCAGTGGGGACCAACGGCCCCCAAGGCATCGCGTCTCATCACCATGCCCTCAGACGGCCCTCAGCTGCCACCAAAGGGGAGGCAGAGCTGGTGCATGGGGAAACAGACGCACTCACAGGGGCCAGGGCCAAGTGCACAGCTGACATCTGAAAACACCTGAATTCTATTCTCTGGGCTCCGAGTTCAGGGAGAAACCTCTTGGACGTTTTGCTCCAGCCTCGATCCTAGAGGTTCTCACCCAGGAGGGACAAGGGAAGGAACCACAGTAAGGCTCAGTCATTCATTCAATCAAGAACTCCTGACTCCCTTGAGGCATCTGGGTGGCTCAGTAGTTAAGCGTCTGCCTTCGGCTCAGGTCATGATCCCGGGGTCTTGGGACCGAGCCCTGCATCGGGCTCCCTGCTCAGCAGGAAGCCTACTTCTCCCTCTCCCACTCCCCCTGCTTGTGTTTCCTCTCTCGCTCTCTGTCAAATAAATAAAAAAATAAAATCTAAAAAAAAAAAAAAAAAAAAAATTCCTGACTCCCTCCTAGGTAATCACCCAGGGCCAACGTGGGCGTACACAGGGAGCCACATGTACCCTAGTGGGGTCTCTACCCGGGGATGAGGCTTCTGGCCAAATGATAAATCCTCATGGTTTAATATATGGTCACTGTTATTTGTGAAATATCATTGCTATCCAAACAGCATTTGAAAGGGACTTTACAGATTTTTCTGTTACTAATCAATTATACAATTAGTCATTACTAGTACTATTGGTTATTATTAATACCTAATGTCATTAATCATAAAAGCAAAGATTTGATTAATTGCTAATAACTAATTCGTAAACCAATTCATAACCCAAAAAACTTTACAGTACTCATAAAGCTGGTTTCTAAAGCACTGTGTGGGTAGTGGCTGAGTCACTCCCTTGGTTAATATGTGATGAGAGGGTCTGTTGGAATGGACGTCAGTGGTTCACCGCTTTATAAAAGGATACCCTCCCCTTTTATAGGAAGTCTACCAATTTGAAAATTTGATGCCAGCTATGAAGCCCAGAAAATGTACATACTCACATAATCTTGTACATAATTCAGGGGGGTTACCAACCCCTTGAACTTCAAGGGCGGGGGGAGGGAAATGGGTCAGGTTAGGAGTCATCTGGTCCAAATCTAAAATGGTTTGGGCTGCTGCCATTAGAGACTTTTCTTGGCTGAGAAGAATAAAACAAAACTGTTTCACCTTCTGTTTTCATCCAATTCCCTTTCTAAAAGCCTGCCCTAAGTAGATTCATTTAAGTTTTTCCTTTTTGACAACAGCTGCAGTCAACTAAAATAAAACAGGTGTTGTTATCAATTTGGCTTTTTGATTTTTCTCCCAAAATGTATCTTCTCCATAAAATTCTTCCAACAGCCAATGTTTCCACCAGTGCCTAGCACGTACTCTATATTCAGCAGATGTTTACTGAATATTCACGTGAATAACTGAGTGAATAAATGAGTGAATAAATGAACATTTCAAAGGGTTAGTCTTCTCCCTGGAGATGATTATATGTTCACATGTGTCTTACTCAAATAAATTAAGTTTTTCTATTTCTGAGGTTTCAGTTGGGGAAAGGGATTACCTCTGAATTTTCAGTGACCACAGTTTTGGAATGCCTGAGAATTTTCTACGTGATGTGAAACCTTATGAGTCAATCAAGGTACGTTCAACAATTAACATTTCCTTCAAGGTAGAACAATGAAATTATTTTCCTATAGGGTCATTGGCTCACAGGAGGAAAAATCAATTGTGAGCCACACAGAAATATAATGGAAAAAAGTCACATAAAAGTTTGGAAACTAGTGACTGCTATTCATAATAACAAAAAAAAAAAAAAAAGGAAATTGTTATTAGTAGTACCTACCCCATACCAGGCACTGTGCTATGAGGCACTTTATAAACATGCTCTCATTTAATCTTCTTCTTGCCCATTTTACAGAAAAAGAAACTGGTTCCTGGAGGTTAAAGCATTTCTCAAGGTCACAGCTTGTCATTTCAAATGCGGGACTTGGACCCAGGGTTTTTTCACTCCTTTCTTTACGCAGCCCTGACTCATGCAATGCAACACAGCATAATACAATAGGAAGTGTGAGATAAGGTGTAAAAAAAAACCGTTGTGGACTGTTAAAACTGCAACCGAAGTAAGACTGACTATTATTAAGTTATTATATCTTATAAAAGAAATAATGCTCTCTGGGAAAACAGCATGCTAAATAGAACGCCTGCACGGATCCGAACTGGTAAAAATGGATGTTCGACAAGGATCAAAAATCAATTCAGAGTGATGTAAATAGCTTGCCATTCATGGGGTTTATCTTTGTTCCGATAAGTTATTAAAGTGCACACTTTTTACAAAACAGAATTATAGGGTGGAGAGAAGCTTCCATGGGATAGTCTACATCTCTGGGGTTTTTTAATGTATTTTAGAAAATAAAATCAGCTGTTGGGAGTCTGTGCCAACACAAACATTACCTAGCCACCCACTGTTCAATCAACACATTCAGAAAAGAAACAAGATGACAGACAAGCGTGCACTAAAAATGTT